TGGATGCAAACAGGCAAATCCTACTTGACAAAAGTAGGGTGGATTCTGTGCTGCCAAGGGAATAGAGGGGTACAAGAGCTGTCCCACTGAGATGAATCAAAAGTGCAGATTTACAGAATTGATGAATTTGCAAATGCTAGAAGTGTATCCTGCAGGCACACCTGTAGCCATGATAACACGAAAATTTGCATTCAAGAGTTCACGGATGGTTGGCTCCGACTCCGATTTGACGGGATTGTCGAGTACAACTAGACCAAGGAAGTGTAGATCGCATTCAAAATAGTCACGCCTTTGAAATTGATAAACTGTTGTCCACGCTGACACCTTTTCGTCTGAATTGTCATTCAGCATTGCACTACTGATGGATTTCCATGCTAATGCTAGAACTCGATGTCCCTGAAAGCGAGAATACTCATGAAAGTCAAGGTTGGCCAATTTGTCGAGGAGGAGGTGGATAAAGGCAGAAGTTATGAGCCTTACTTGCTTTGAAAAGTAGGCGAGTTTTTCGTCAAAGTCTTGGGGCAAAGTGTGAGGTTTGCAATGCTTTGCTATTGCCTCTGGAGCACCTTTTGTGAGTACCGCGATCTCGCCTTTCTTGCCTACTGTTTCCACAACAACTGATTGTCTCTGAGCCGTGGAAGAGAAGGGAAAGTGTCGCAGAATTCCCAATTGTTGCCATGGTGATGAACTGTCAATCTAGAAGTCATTCGATGATCATCAACTACATCAAGGAAGGATGCATAATCTTACCCGAGAATTGCAAATAACAGCTTGGATAGGTGAGGTGAATCTTGTGCCAACTTTTTCAAGATCCCTTTCTTGAAGCGCCTAAAAGTGAGGAAAATAACTACTCATCTTTTTGACATACCCAGTTAGTGGAAGTGAAGATAATCCTGTCCAAAGGATCTCCAACAATCTCACAAGTGGAGGGATCGACAGTCAACGAATGGCAGGCAGCCAGAACTGCTGACAAAGGCCCAGGTTGATTTGCAATTTGATCTACCCTAGAGAGTGCATGAGACTCGAGGCATGGTCCACCTTTCCACACACCTTTCACCGACATATACTCCTCCGTTAAAGTGCCAGTCTGTCGGAAGTGAAAAAAAAATGCCACTACTACTTGAACACCAACAAGTATTACCACGAAATCCATTGACAGACCTTGTCAAAGACGATTGTATTGAGAGTGCCGGCAATGTTGATTGCTGAAGGGTTGATGCAGAAGATATTCAACTTCCTGAGCCGCAACTGTGCCAAGTAGAGACCTGTAGTCATCACTGAAGGCAGTGCTGGTGGAACCACGATGGTAAAAATGTCCAATGACTTTCGAATCATCGCACCCACCCCCAGATTGTAGTGTTGCTGAAAGGAGACAATCAAATTTTTTTTAAGCCCTCCCACTGCTCTGTCCTGCACAGAAGTGAAGCTTCAAAGTTGGACTAAGTTTTCAGGAATCTGCTTCACCTGCCACCATCAAATACACATTCATTGGAGATCAAAGAAGACGAAATTAGCAATTTGAAAAAAATTTGGTCCTGCTTATGGAGCCACCTAAGTCTCATCTGTGACTCCTTTTGAGAATGAAACACACATCGTGTGCGGTGATTGGACTGTGAGCAAGCAATTTTTAGGTATTCCTGCAACGTTGGCTAAGGAAAAGAGTATGCCGTTTGGCCATGACTAATGATGCGATGAGGTGAATGAGCATTAACCTACGCATAGCTCACAACACCTGCTTTTGGCGCAATAACCCTTTGTGTGGCAAAATCATGCGAAGTGCATTTTGTTTGGCAGCAAAGGCGAATTCGATCACCGAAGAAATGGAAAATACTCACGTACAAGTGGATCAAATGCAACCAATGAAGGAGAGGAAACTTGCATTACACTACCATAAAGTAAGATTGACACTTCACGATCATAAAGTGCATGCAAACAAGCAATAATGCAATGAGGATAAAAGAAATCCTGGCTTTGAGGATTAAAGTGAACACAAGACACTGTTTTATGACAAGGCGTTACTACCAGCGAAACCAATCAAAAAATGAAACAAACTCAGGTACTGAAAACAACATGAAGATGATGCATAACAAAGCTCATGTAGATGAAGAAAAACCACTTTTAGACAGGAAATGAGTTATTTGTAAAAATAAGGAAATGAGAAGCGAGGGAGCACCAAAAGAATGCAAAATAGATAACCAATCAGCATTTGGGCTTGTTACGATTGGTAACAAACGTAGCCAATTAAATTAGCCTGTATTCCTATTGGATAGGGTGATACATCAAAATTGGAAGGATGCAGTCCTCGCATATTTTTATCGGTTTCTATTAGAAACCGAATTTCAAAAATTGTTTGCTTTTACACAGTGGTAAAACAAATGTCAGGCTTATGCATGTAAAATAGAATTGGCACAAAAGCAAGGCGGAGCCTGAGTCTTCACACAAAGTTAAGGACATTGACTGCTTTTTGAAGCTTGTTTCGATTAAAATAACTTCAGTCTTTGAGCAATGCCCAATTTGCATAAAGAATTCTAAAGTTTTACGCAAAGACGCTCCAACTCACTTTCGGTATTAAGGTGATTGTGAGTTTAGCCAAGGTTAAAGTGGACTAAATCAGCGTTCAATGGACCTTAGATAGGTAAAATTGACTTACAAGAACAATGCAGGTGTAGATAAACCCCGCGATCGCAATGACAGCCATGATGGAGAGAAATCTAAAGCTGTCTATGTTAAAGTCTACATCCAAGGGTTTGGGGTGTAGGATAGCACGAACCAGATCACCCTTTACAGTGAGAAAACCTGTCCGTAATACCACAGCTTTTACAAGAGATCCTTCAAAAGACTCGCGTGCTTGCAAAACTCGAGTGCCACTGAAGAGTACGTGACGAGCAAGACGGCGAATATCAATCTTTCTGTCTTCATCGGTGGTGGGAGTTGCAAGTTCAGTAATTGCTGACTTCATCTGTGGAACACTTTCTCCTACCAAAGATAAGAAGGCAGAGTTCATTAAAATTAAGTAAGTGACTAAATTTCACAATATGTTAAATTAAGATCGGCCTTCGCAATGAGAGGTGGTTTAAAGTAGGTTACTCGAATCCACTAGCAAATTGGAACAATCCCGGCTTGATGAAAAACAACGTTTAACAAAGTATCAACAACCCCCTGCTTTCGAGGGACGATTCCAAAGCCAGGTTTAAAAAAGGATCTTAACGCTTTAAAACGTCAATATAAAATGAAAAACGGTGACAACTCATCAGTATGATATTTGTTGTCATGCAGCATTCTTGAAAAATCACTCCGCAATATGTAATCACATCGACCGTAGCAAAGGTATTCTAAACAAACACAGTGGTTGAAGTTTATCAAAATCTGTAGAAAATGGCTGACCTCCCTCGGCACATCCAACTTACCTTCCTATGCAAATGAAGACCGAAAGTGTCATTGTAAACATTTCAGTAGTGGTCAAACACTAACCTCGCAATAAATTATGATGTGTAGGTGAAAGTGTAAAAGAATGGGCACACAATGCACGAGTGTCCGGATGGAAAGAAGGATGGTTGAGGGGAGAAAATCGGCGAATGGACAGGTGGAGGGGTAGATGAATGGGCATCGAAAAACTGAACTGTCTGAATGCAGGATTAGTGAGTAGACTAATATGCTATACAAAATGGATGGGATGGTAGTTAAAAGGCACTATCCACTCATTATCCTTCCACACTCGAACGACAGAGCACTCTTTCATTCCATTCAGAAGAGCAGAAGTTTAAAGGCTGATTTTTAGGGGTTAGTGCGATGCAATTCATTCTAGACGTACCATTTAAATTGGCTTCATTGACGGTACAAGATCCACTGATTAGGAGCATGTCTGCCACCAACTCACAACCGAAAGGAGGAATACATACTACATCTCCCGGTACGAGATTTACTGATGGGATTTCAATGGGTTTACCTACAAAATAAATGTTCCAAAGCCTAGTTCTTACTCTCAACACCACGTAAGACAAACACTGTTTCAGCCATTTTTACTTTATCGCGAAGTTGGCGTTCATTCTAAAAAAAATAAACATTAAGACTGAATAGGTTTCAAACCTTGCGACACGATAGCGTTGACAGTATCACGGAGGTTGCTGAGAGGATGAGAATGACCGAGGCGTAAAAGTAGTACTCAGAGCTCATCCACAACATAACACTAAATATTTGGAATATATAGAATGGTGATAGGATCTGGCAAAATGCAACAATAGTGATACAATACCTCACGAAAAAGCTTTACGGCAATGGGTGTTAACGAAATGTTGATTTGATTTGGGCCATACAGTGCCAACAAGTATTTCACACGCTCTGTCAAAAGGGGCTTAGTTGACAAGATGTCCATTGTGTTTTGCTTATCCAGTCCTCTATACTATCCCTTGTATAAATGCTTAATAACTCACCTAATAGGAGAGAAGATATTCTTATCGCTGTACCATATGTATTTCAAATTTCGGTAAAAGAAGAACTTAACAGAATTGTGGTCTTTCACAGAGAAAAGAGGACTTGTCTCAGATGCATGGTCATCTTCCAAATATTTATACAAGTGCGTTCTAGAAAATACGCCATTCTAAATCCAACTTACCGGTTCGTTAAAAGGGATTGTACATACACATCACTAATATCGGTGCCAAATGAGGCACTCTATAAGTAATAGACAAAATATCAGATCATACTCGCAAAAGGATAACTTCAGCTTGCGAAACATTCACTTTAGTGTGGGTCAGTGCAACCCAATAGTCACGTCGCCAGTAAAACAAAAATGCAAGTGTAAATCCAGAAAGCGCCATGGCAATCCAAACGGCAAGGGTTTTCAAACGATTTCGTCGATAACCTACTAGTTCCTATTAAAAAACAGCAATCCTTGTGGGACAAAAGAGCAACTCACTAAGATTTCATCGTAATGAGGACTGCAATCGTCCATTGCAAGGTGACTAACCAATGGTTCTAAAAATGTATTAGTGTTAGAATTACTAGGATAAGACATTCAATACAGGTCATACAGTTGAAGTGGCTTGCAATATGATTTACTTTTAATTGCTGGAATGTATATTTAAGCTAACTAAAACCTGATTTAAAAAAAATTGCAACTAAAAAAGATTTTGATTACATGCATGCATGCACAAGAATCTGAAACTCGCCAATAATGCGCGATTGATTATACGACCCAAAGAGTCTCAAGGACACCAAGGTTTACGTTGGAATATTCGAACACTATGGGTAGCTCAAGTTAAACTATTTTCAAAGTGTATTATAAAAACAATGATTGCTATGCAAAGCTTATATCGCTATTGAAAGCCCTAATTAGAACAAACTATCTCAGGTTATGAAGTGTGCGATTAACATTTTTTTGATTTCGCAAAATATACGCATAATATTTGGAAATAATTGCAAAAAATATAACTTTTTTACAAGACTTGAAAATTTTTAAGGAATCATTTTTAAACTAATTAACAATCTCCTTAAATGCACCGGGAGTACTGGGTTTAAAGCGATGGCAAATGGTGTAACACTTTGCTTATGTGACTTCCTGATGTTCCAAGAGTCCCTTGGAAATGTCCGACTTTTGTACTCATGAGCTAGCCTTCAGACCATGCTCAGACCCATTTGCTCTGTTCTCTTCGGAATACATGTATCCCACATCACTTACTGCCTTCTTCCATCCTCTGGGAAGTCTCGGGACGCTACAAATGGTTCAAGCCCTCTTGCTGGCAAGATGTGTGCATTCAACTCGAATCTTTTATTTATAGTTGTCAATGACGTAACTTAGTACAGTTTCAAGACCTCGTGCGCAAAATTGTACAGAATGTGAGTTAAATTTGTAGTTACTGTCTGTCTACCCTCTGGTCCCTGGTTCTCAGACTTTAAGGGGAAGTTGGTTGTAGACGATTTATTAGGCATCTCTGTAAGAAGGATATGGGAATAAAATACAGATGTGATGAGCAGGAGGTGTCAATCGCAGGGAGGCTCCTCGTCGACC